CCGCGAGCGAGGGGCGCCTGGCAGCCGGGTGCCCGGACTGACCATGAGGCCCCTGCTGCTCCTGGCCCCGCTGGCCTGGCTGCTCCTGGCCGAGGCAAAAGGCGACGCCCAGCCGGAGGGTAAGACGCGGGCCGCGGGCGGGAGCGGGAGTGGGTCTGGGTTCCGGCCTCCTGGCGACTCACTGAGAGGTGACTTGGACAAATCGTGTCCCCTCCCCGGGCTGAGGTCCTCTGAGAGTCGATGTCCATTCAGCACCCACCCGCCTACTGCCATCAAGTCATCCGGACTCCTTAGGGTTTCCGAAACCTCCGAGCCAGACGGGCGCCGACAGCCTCATTTTCTTCAGCCGAGAGGCTAGTGGGTTTGAACTGCTAGCCTTGACGTTAACAATCCAATGTAACCCACTGCGTCACGTGGGCTCCTTTCATTCTGCATCCAACCCGCTGCCATCGGTTGGATTCCAAAGTATAGCGACCTTGTAGGTCAGAGTAGAACACCCCTTTGGGTTTCCCAGGCTGTGAATCCTAGTGGGAGCCGAAAGCTTATCTTCTTTCGCCGATCAGCTGTTAGCAGCCCAATGATTGTTCAGCTGTTAGCAGCCCAATGCGTAACCCACCGCACCCCTAGGACGTTCATTATTTCCCTCCTACTACGATTGCCACTGCCGGTGACTGTAACTGTTAGAGCGCAGCAGGCTGGCTCTCCACTCTCAAAGGACCCTAGGAAGTAGGTCTGTCTGGCATTCCCGTTTCCCCAGTCTTCAAGCAGCAGCCACTTACCCACAGACCCACAGTTTGTGTGTCTTGGGGCCTGCATTCAGATGTGTGTCTCGTTTCAGAGCCAGTGGGCCTGACGGAGCGGGTGGGGAGTGGGGTGGTGGTGGTGGAGAGGGACTGATGGGGTGGGGTGAACTGAAACAATTTGCACTTTGACTTGTGGCCTCCGCCATGTGCACCCACTTCACCCCCCACCCGTGGGTTTCACACAGGAGGAAATGGAGGTCCAGAGAGTAAAGCAATTGCTCTGAGTTATCCTGTTTAGTGCTTCTAGTTCCCCAAGCAGAGGGCATCTCAGTGCACCCCACCCCCACGCTCCCAGCCCCCTGGTGAGCTACCGGAGTCAAGGAGGACACAGATCCCAGGTCGCCTAACAGAGCCACCTGTGGAACCTGCCTTGGTGGTTCCTGTTCCCCTGGGTGCCCCCCTCTCCTCATCTGGAGAACCTGGAGCTTGAGCAAGGGGAAGGCCTGGGACCCACCTTTTCTGGAGAACCTCCTTTGTGTCAGGTTGAGCCCGAGGCCACATGTTCCCTGTGACAAAGCCCAAAGGTGCTGAGTCCCCATGGGGTCCCCTGCTTTAGCCTGCACAGTGGAGGTGAGTGATAGGCCACTCCTGGAGCTGTGTGTAAGGGGTCAGCCTGCTGCTTGGCCTGGAAAGGCCCTCAACAAAGCTCCTTTCCTCTCCTGGGCTCAGGGCTGCCAGCAGGGCTCTGTGAATGGCCAAAGAATCCAGGGAGGGGAGGGCACTCACTAGTCCACTTGCTGGCAGGGAGCCGGGAGCCCTTCAAGAAATCGCCTTCCCCGTCCCTACTGCCTCTTGTTCCTCAGCTTCTGCTATCATGAACTTGAGCTCCTTCCACCCCATACTCACCCCATAAGAGAAGTGAGCTGCATCCAGCCTCCCACGCAAGCCCAGAGAGGGAGGGAGAGGGCTTCCGGTGTCCTGATCTGCAGCGGGTGACACAGCACGGAGCGCACAGACCCCTGAGAGTGGGATTCGAGGTGTCACCGAGCTCACCCAGCAAAGCCCTGAGTAGAGTAAGCACAGTTTCCAGGCCTGGGCTGTCGGACCTTTTACTTCCCTGGCCCCATTTAGACCCTCTAGATCAGGAATCCTAGTCCCATTTGGTGGTTGGAGAAGCTGAGCCCTGGGCTCAGGTTACCACAGCTGATTGGCAGAGAGTTGATGGACTCAAGCTTGCTGCTCATTCCCTTTGGCCCCCATCTCCTAGGGACCCTCAGCTACGTGGCTGAGAGGGCAGGGGTGGAGTGTGTGTGTGTGTGTGTGTGGGGGGGTGTTCTTGCAGCTCATGTTCGAGCTGCCCACTGACTGGTTAATGCTGCAGAGTGAGCACCCCAGAGGCTAGCTCCTCCCTCCCCTGGCCGGGCTGGGGGCCTCCTGGGCCAGCGCCATATGCTGGGATGCATGGACAGCTACTGAGTATTCAGTGGGGCCACCCATAAGTGTACCTGTCTGCCCTTCTGGGCACCGTGAGACTCAGGGTGGGGATGAGAATTTGCTGTGGACTCTTGGGGGATGGGTGGTAAGGGGGCTCTGGGCAGTTTGTCCACCCCCTGGACTGAAGGCCCATGGACTTGGGGTGTGAAGTATAGAATGTCATTTTCTCTAATGCAGTTTTCTCTCTTGGGGACTCCCTAACTGAGGGAGGGGGCAGGGCTTCTGGCCTCTGTGGCCTTCCCGTCTGTTAGGGGAGGCATGACCCTCTGCTTTCAAGGGTCTAGCTGAGGGCCGAGGCCTTGCCCCTTGCTGGGGGAGCTCCGAGGCCAGTGGGAGAGACAGAAACATGCTGTCCCCGAGCAACATCCAGACAGACAGATGCGCAGAGGGCTGAGTGGGATGGTCAGGAGGTACGGGGGTCCCTTGTCCCCCTGCAGAGGCAGCTGGCTGACCCTACCCTCTCCCCGCTGGACTGAACCTTCCCTTTGGGGTTCGGTTTGGCCACCGAGAGGGAACACCAGCTGGGACCCAACAGTGCCGAGTTCAGAGGCCTGGGACATGAGCCAGGCTTGGCCAGGGTCCTGGTCCCAGCAGGGAAGGGGGCTGTCCAGGAGTCAAGCTGCCTGCCCCC